CCACAGAGTCGCTCTAACTGGTCAGCACGGGCATAACCAGGGGTTCGTCCCTCACATGTGTTCAGCAGAGGCTTGGGAGGCTGACTGTGTCCATGTTCTGGAAACAGGAAGACTTTGTGCCCTTAGGAGACCTCACTCTGTAGGTGGGAGTGAGACCCTGGCACAGGGCGGCTGAGCTCTGGGGGAGAAGCACCGGGGCTGGCCCGGGGCTGGCCTGGGGCTGGCCACTGCTGAGGTCTCGGAGGAGGTGCACTGCACACGGGGTGCCTTTCTTCTGCCCTCTCCTCCTGGCCCGCAGCTGGGCAGGGGGCTGGGAGCAGCTGCTAGGAGCCAGCTCAGAGGATCCCTGCCACCCCACCTCAGCAGAGCTGTCCCCTCTCCTTCTCCTGTCACCTGAACAGGCCTCTCACAGCCTCCGTGCACACTCGCCCCAGCCCCTTCCACCATCGCCCTCTGTCCCTGTCCCCACTGTCCTCCACCACCAGTGGGGGCTGTCCTGTGTCACGGTGCCCTCCACCTTCAATGATCACTTGTGTCCCACCATGTTGTCATCTTTCCTTGACTTTACGGACTCCACTGGGGCTATACCACCGAGAAGGACACAGCTGAGAACGCGAGGAGAGCCCCAGGACAGGAGAAGGCCTTTGTCCACTGCTCCTTCCACAGGGGATTCTTACCCAGAATATATAGGAACTCCAAAATCTTACCACCTCTTTAAAACCTAAAAAAACAAATGACCCAATCAATAATGGGCAAAAGAACTACACAGACTATTCTCAAAAGAAGACGTACAAATGCCCAACGATATACAAAAAAAAAATGTTCAACATCTCTAGCACTCAGGGAGATGCAGACCGAAACTACACTGAGATTTCATCTCACTCCAGTCAGAATGGCGGCCAGCGAGCATACAAATGAGAAAGCTGGTGAGACTGTGGGGAAAGGTGCACTCCCAGAGTGTTGGTGGGACAGCAAAGGAGGGCAGTCACTCTGGAAATCAGCCTGGAGATCCTCCAGACCTTGGGCATGGAGCCACCATATGACCCAGCTAGGCGGCTCCTTAGTCTTCACCCCAGGGAGCTAAAATCAGCCCACTGGAGAGAGAGAGGCACGCAGTGTTCACACAGCTCAAGTCCCAATAGCCAAGTTGGGAAACCTGTCCAGATGCTGGTCAACAAGAATGGATACAGAAAGCGGGGCCCCTCTACCCAGGGAGCTTTATCTAGCCATGAAGCACGAAGAGGTGGCACTGGCTGGTGAGTGGACAGAAGCACCATGCTGAGCTACAGAAGCCAGGCTCAGAGACTCAAGGGCCAGACGCTTCCCCTCACTTGGAAGTTAAAACAAAATAAGGGGGAAAAGTGGGGGGTGGTCCCTTGAAAACAGAAAGGGGATCAGTGGAGAGAGGAGTTTGAGGGGGAGGGAGGAGAGACAGGAAAAGGGAGGAACCGCAGAATGAAATGGACGAGCCATGGACGAACCATGGACGAGCCAGGCACCGCGGCACACGTTTGTAATCCCAGTGGCTCAGGAGGCCAAGGCAGGAGGATGGTGAGTTCACAGCCAGCCTCCACAACTCAGCAAGACCCCATCTCTAAATAAAAAAAAAGGGCTGGGGATGCCGGGGATGGGACTCAGTGGTTAAGCACCCCAGGGTTCCATAGCTGGTAACAACAACAACAACAAAAAGAATGGAATGGACTAAATGTTGCCATGTACATGGATAAAATACAGGAATATGCCACAGTGAGTCCCACCTTTACACGGTCTGCAAAGCACCGATTAAAAACAAGAACAAAAAGAGCAAATGGCAGGTAGACCTCAGAGTAGAGGAAGGGAGCTGGACGGGGGCAAGCCCTGGGGACTAACATGGAGCCTGTTCTCTTCCCCGCATGCATGATGACGGCAAAACGAATCCACTATTGTGTGAAACTATATGTCACCAGGGCAAACTTTTTTTTAAAAAAAGATATAAACAGAAAATTTTAAAAATGAACAGAAAATTTTAAAAATTTAAAAATCCCCGTGCTCTCTGCACACTCTAGTGTCGCCATGCTCCGGGCAGCCGCAGCAGCCGCAGGGGACACGGGGCTGTGGTTCTCTGGAAGTGCGCAGCCTGAGCAGCAGGACCACCCCAGGCCAAGGAAGAGACAAGGACAGAGACAGAGGCCGGGGTCCACTCTCCGGAGGGCGGCAGAGCCCCACGCTTCCTGAGTTTCACACCAGGGTGCCCTCTGTGTGTGTGTGCTCCTCGGTGTAGACTCCTGAAGACCTTCTCACAGAAGCTCGTTCCCACACAGCCAGAGAACAAGGCCTCATTTGACCCCTGAAATGGTCTTTTTCATCTTCCACCAGACCTGGGGGCTTACTGAGTAGGAACGGGAGGGCTCAGGCCGCGTGGGCTGCCAACAGGCAGTCACCTGTCACCAGCTAAAAAGACCACTTCACGCGCTTCCAACAAACACCCATAGAACACTGAGCCAAAGAAAGTCCTGCAGGTTCTCTCCTGCAGACTCGGGTGGCTGTATTGTGTGTCACTTCCCAAACGTCAATCATCAGTTATACAGAAAGAAGACAATCTATGGCCCTCAAATAAGGGATGGCTTTGTGTTTTACTAGAATTGGGAAGATTCCTCTGCAAAGAGTGAGCGAGAAAGGAGAACAGAAAAGGAGAGGTTTAGGGGTTTGCAGGAGAACTCTGAGGAGGAGAAATGAGAAAGTCCAGAACCACTCCAAGCCCACGCTCGCTGCAAGACCCAGCAGATGTGCAGTTTGCATCTGCCCAACTGAACGGAAAGCTGCGTCCACTCAACAGCCTGCCCAGGGAGACGGCAGCTGCTGTACTTGTGCCCACAGAGCTTGGGCGCACTGGGGTGGCCTTTAGGAGTGGCTCTGCAGGCCCTGGAGTGCTCTGCAGTGCCACCGAGCCCTGCAAGGACAAGGAGGAATCAGCTGCATCACCAGGAGGGAGGGCCCAGGGCCACCCGACGACCCCAGTGTGTGACACTGGAACAGGCAAGACCACTGAGCCCGTGAGAAGATGTGGTTGCCAGGGGCTGGGATTGGGGACAGAGCAGGCAGAGCTCAGGGGGTCTGTAGGCAGGGACATTCTTGCTCTGTGTAACACTTTACTGGCCGACACATCTCTATGCGTTTGTACCCATGGAAGGCACAGCAGCCAGGGTGGACTTTGATGCCAACTGTGGACTCCGGGTGGTGCTGACATGCCACACACTGGCTCCTGGACTAGCAAACACGCCTCTGAGGGACAGTGGGAGGCTGTGCGCGTGGGACAGGAGGTTTATGTGCGCCGTGTACCTCCTGCTCAGTTTTGCTGTAAAACGACTTGCTTTTTTTTTTTTTTTAAATGATCTGTTTAAAAATTTCAAGAGGTCAAGAGGGAAGGAAGAGGAGAAGGCAGGACGCGAACACCACCTACAACCTTACGAACTTTTCTGTTTGGCTGATAAGTGCCATCAGTCTCCTCTCTACCATGTACACTGCCCCTAATTTAAGAAGATCAAGGGCAATTTTATGTCACAACAGAAAGCAGAATGCAGACGGTCTAGAAAGAAAAGGACTTTTTCTCAAGATGAAGTAAGTAGGTGAGTGGGCTTCCTTTGACATTTCTGTTGCAGATCAGTGAAAGTCTTCCTGCACACAGGCACTAATCCAGCCATGCCTCGCAAATTACCAACCCACAGCACAGTGAAACCAGAGGTAAGAAATTGTGCAGACCATAACCTCAATTTTATTAGCAACCTTTTAAACCATTAAATGACCTAAGTCAATTTTCTTATGTAAATCCTAAATATGCCTCGCCAGCGACCTGCCAAAAGATAAATTGAGTCTGAGCGTGTTGATGTGCAAATTCCACCTATTTTATGAGGACGGCTGACCTTGTGAGGTACCACATTACATGGTGCCTCCACCTGAGGCTCCTTGAAGGGTACTAAAAGGTTGAGCTGCCACAGAACATCTCCACTCTGCCCTTTTTAGGAAATGACTCCTTAAACACGGGCCAGACAGGAAAGACGGGGACTATCTTCAGGAGATAATAACTCAAGTGTGAGAATGTGGCTTCCCACTAGTAATCGAGCAGAGGTTATTGTCTTGTATTGACTACTTGGAGCCTTAGCCCTGGAAGGGAAAAACATAGGTCTCTTCTAAACTGGAGTTGAGGGTAAAGGTCAGCTTGGTGGCAGGTAGCAAGAGATGCTATCCCACAAATTCAGACCACAGCAATTAGGGAACTCATAGTTACTGCTGGCCTGGGGACCCCAGGAATAGATGGAACCTCCGTGCCAAGACTCCGACTTTGATGCAAGCTTAAGTGTTTACTAATTCAAACCTCTAAAACAACATTTTCCCCACATAACTAAGTAGAGCTCAATCCCTGTCTCTATCTTATAAAGGATGGAATTTCCTAAGCCAATGTGATCTTGATGCTAAGGGGGTCAGGATATACCACCCCAAACTATGGCCCCTTGCATTTAGTAAAAAAAGGGGGGGGCTCTGACCTCCTGCCAGCTTGTCTCCTGCAGCAGGTCATAGGACAGTGCTCTGGTCTTCCCCACCAGAGGCCACAAAAATGGATCTCCCAACACCCAGCAGAAAGCATTTGGGGACAGAATGGGTACTAGTGGGGCACCCTGCACTTGGTCACTACTGTCAAGCCACACCCTCAGCCCAGCAATCCCAATGCCAGGCCGCCCCAGAATAGGCACTCTTCCCTCTTTCCATGGGTCTTCATTTTGGAGGTGACTATATCACACAAAATCTACAATAAATAAACTTGGTGACTTTTTATCAATCTGTGCTTTGCCATGAACCCAGTGCCAGGTGAGACAAGAACTCTCTTCTCCCTACAATACACCTCCAAAATGCAGGTCACACTGGACCGGTGCTTGTCCCTGGGGGGTCCTAGGAACAGGAAGGAGCGCCCCCCTGCACACAGAGGTGGCCGACCGTGGCCACACCCAGCGGCAGGGTCCACCTACTTGAGAACTGGATGGAGAAGCCCGACTTGCTGATGAAGAAGTCGCTGTCGAACTGCAGCGTGAGCGAGTTGAAGGTGCTGTGGATGTCCTCGGGCAGCGCTGAGCCGCTCCACTCCTTCAGGAGGATGCTGCTGTCCAGCGGGCCGTCCCACACCTTGAGGATGTCGTGTGCCAGCTCCGTGTCGAACACGATGAAGTGGAGGCTGCAAGACAGAGCACAGCTGTCCACGGGCTCCCTGCTGTCCCTGCCCGGCACCACACCCCAGAGACTTCAGGAACCCGCTGCACCCTCCCAGCCCCTCCAGTGGTGCAGAAGGGACTGAAGGGACTCACGTGTGCATTAGCACACAGCATGAACTCCTCAGTCTGACGGGCTGCAGAGAAGCCGGGCTATGGCCGGCGCCATCCATTAAGGGCTGCAGCCTTTCCGTTGGGATTGGGTCTCTCTATGATGGAATCCAGCCTGCACTAACCCTAATGAAGGTGGAAGTCCCTTCTTCCTAGGCTGACCTAGGTTTTCCTGACCTGGTGTTGTTCCCAAGGTGCCCGGCAGGTGGCAGCACGCACAGCGGGGAAGGATGCCCTGGCCACCTGGTTCCACCCAGCACAGTCCCCACCGGCATCCACACAGGCGGCCCAGGGGTTGTGTTTCTCTCTATACATTTTATCTTCAGAAGAAGACATTATTTTAAATCAGCACAATGTCAGGAGTGCCTAGTGCAAATCCCTTCCTGCAACGCCTAACACACTTGCATGGGGCTTGCAGGTGTTCCGGGGCCCCTTGGACCTTCCCCTCCTGTGGCAGTCACTCAGACCCAGCCCCACGGGTAGCCCTGTCTATGCAGGGCAAACAGAGGGCTAGCTAACATCCCATCCAAAGTCGCTATTTCCTGAGAGTGTAGTTTATAGTTTTTCATTTTCTCCTTATTGCCCATGGACTGTAAAGGAGGTAAAAATGACTACAGATGACACAAAAACTACATAAATCTCAATGACTTCAGGTTGCTCATATCAGGTATACAGAGCATACCTATCTGATCTGTGTAAGCAAGAATGTGTAATGTATCTTTAAATGTTCCACATAAAGAAGTGTACAGGGTATAGCGCACATGTTATCCACCAATACCAGTGTCAACATTCTGCCCGATTTGCATCAAATCTTTTAAAAAATAAAATTGTATAGATATGCCCATGCCTGCTCTCCAGGGCATCTGGCCCTGCACCCAGCCAGCTCTTTGCATGTGCCATTCCCAGGTGAGCTTCTGAAGTGCCCGCATGTGTCATGAGAACACTGCCCGAGTGGCACCGGGGCTCCATGTGCTTGCTGGGGGCACACAGTCCCCGTCACAAGCCTGTGTGTGCCTGCCTGATTTACAGCCAGCGCTTGCCTCCATTAAGAGTGTCATGAGAGTCCTGCACACTAAACATGTGGAATTTTTTTACTTTAAAAGCATGAGTTCTGTATTTTTCAGCCCTCTACTGTAGGATGCAAAGTTTTTCTGCACTGTGAAGCATGGTACCGCCATGGACCTTCCGCATCACTGATCTGAGGGTCTTTCTAGGTCTGGCATAAGACAGTGGCCCTGTTGCTTTCCCTGGTGACTCTGACTCCTTCAGTTCACCATGATGAGCAAACGCCCCAGTTTGCCAAGACCTGATGCTGGATGAACAGCAGCAGCCAAGCAGGGCTTGGATCTCTCATGGTCTCTGGTTATTTATGAGGTTGATCATCTTGGTGTGCCTGTTCATAGAGTTCAACAACCCAACAAGTATTTATTGAGTACCAGCTGTAAACAAGCCCCCTTCTGGAACTGTGGATATACCATTGAACTACACAGCCCTGCCTCCGGGAGCTTACGTTGCAATGAGAGGAGAAAGAAACAGCCACCAACGAACATGTGAAGAGTGTTGCACGTGAGTAGGTGTAAGTGCAACGAAGAGAGAGAGAGAGCAAGCGGACTGAGGGCACTGGGATTGCCTAGACGGGTGGGGGGCAAGTGAGGGAGACACACCTCCTGGGTGGTGAGGTTAAGTGGGTGAGGCCGAGAGGCCGCAGCGCCCCTCTAAAGAAGGCAAGAGCTTGTTTAATTCCACGTGAGGAAGAGCTAAGGAAAGCAATCCCTGCGGGGGGCATGGTTCTGTGCTCACCCAGTGTGGCCAGAGCAGAGGGAGAGGGACTGAGGAGGGAGACGGAGATTAGAGAAGCATTTTGTCTTCTGCGCTGGCTGATAAACCAAGGCACCGTTTCAGTGAAGCATTTATCTCACCAACAATTTTTAAAAATTACTCTGCTTGCTCTGGTGACCACATACTTTCAAAGAAAATGTAGACTCTGCGACCTGCTTGGGTAATCCAGCAAGACTGCCCTTGTGTGGACATGTCCGTGGAGGCACTGAGAGGTTGCGAGACTCTGGGCGCAGGTGGAGGAAACTGGACCCATGAGGCGTGAGCAAGAGGGGGCAGGGCCACTATGGCCCAGGAAACCAGAGAGGCAGAGCTGCATCCCCTGGTGGAAAATGGGAGCAGGTGGAGCAGGAGCCGAGCCCGCAGGGACCAGCACCGTGCCACCAGCCGGTGGAGCCCAGGCTTCTGCAGGGGCAGCCAAGAGGGGACTGTTCACCCCAGGCGGGAGCTGCAAAGAGAAGTCTGGCTGAGGTGACGCAGAGGTGACACACATGTGCATCACCAGCAAATAAATGGCTTCTAAACCTGGGACTAAATGAAGCCATCAGAGGTCACAGGTGGAGAACAGAAAGGGACCACAGACCTGGGTGTCTGATCAGCACGTCAGGTCTACAACGAGCTGTGGGTGTGCTCCGCCTCCTCAGGCACTGCATACTCAGATCATGTTCTCGCCGAAAGGCTTCTTCACCTACCTTTATCATGTTAAGACAAAGCTTTCTACTTGTCCTGCTAGGAAGGTGTATGGGGTTTGCTTTACTTTGTTACACTGATTGTGGAAAAGCAATCAGTTCCATTAAATTATTCTTCAATTTATATGTTGAGGAAAAAATAATAATGCTCATTGGTTTACATCTATGTAGATAAGCATCATTATATTTTCTTGATATATAAATCAAATGAACTATAGAGTTAAGCATTTAATTTTTCTGTCTTGTTGTATATTTATCCTTTGACAGAAATGTTATTTTAGTCTTATTAAAAGAATTGCTTTCTTTTCTTTTCTTTTTTTTTGGTCTGGAATATTTTTCCTATATATTTGCATAAAATGATCTTTTATTTTTAAAAATGTTCTAAAATAATCTCTACTGTATAGGTACATCTCTATTTTCATTCCAAATATCAACTGCTTGGGCCTCCTATATTTTATCTTAATAAGTGTGCTCAGTTGTTTCTCAACTTTATGTTTATTAACTACCTTTATTGTTACTTTCATTAATTCATTTCACTATATTTGGTGTTTTTCCATTTTTACTTCCTTGAATTTATACTATATTCAAGCTTCCATTATCTGAATGTTTGAATATTAAGACATAAAAAATTCATGTTTTTTATCATTCTAGAAATTCAGATTTGCAACACTGTGGAATTGACTTTTTATAATGCATGTGTGTAGTATTTCAATAAGAACAAAAACACTAAAAGAAGGAAAAAGTTAATTTAAATGATTGCTCTGTATAAACTTATGGCCCTACAATTTAAGGGGTTTCCTTTCAAGGATAAACATAAATTACCAATATTGAATCAAGCAGATCAATACTGACAAATACTGAGAAATACACATCTTAGAATTATAAAAGTATCTTAAAATTGGTGATGAATTTAAAACATGAAAAATATCCAAAAATGGGACTAAGGATTCAGTAAATATTAATATTTAGAAATGCACTTATCAATATAGATAACAAAAGTTTTGTTCTGGATATTGGTGAAGGACAATGAGGCTCACTATAACACATTCTAAACAATATTTTTCTGGAGTCAATGCCTCTGCAATGAGTCAGGTAAAAAGGCATCAGATTCAGAAAAAATATCTCTTATTTGTAGATGACGTGATTGTGCATGTAGAAAACATTTAAATCTAGAAACTTTTAGAATCAACCAGTTCACATTTATGTAAGAAAAATATAAAAATAAAAATCAATTTCCATATAAAAGCCATAAACAGAAAATTAAAAAAAAAAAAAAACAATACTACCTACATTATCATCCCAAAGCATCCTATAGCTAAGATTAATTCTAACCAAAATGTGCAAGGCCTTCACACAGAACACTGAAAGGTACTACTGAGGCAAATCACGGGAGACCAAATAAATGGAGCAGCACATCGTACAGGGAATCCTGGCAATTTCTTTTGTGGAAAACGTCTTTCCGAAATTCATACAGAAATGAAGAAGGTCAAAATCAGCCAGGCATGTATGTAAAGAAGAGTGGATCTTAGTATCAGCTATCAAGACTTTTATAAAGTAGGTAAGTGATTAAGATGGAAAGTGCTGCACGTAACTGACCAAGATATCAATGGTTGGGATACAGTGCAGAAACAGACCGACTCTGATATAACTGTCCTGCTTATGACCAGAGGTCCACTCCAGTTCAACGAAGAAGAGGTGGACTTCAACAAATGCTCCACTGAACTCCACACAGGAGCGGGATGGGAGGGGACAGCAACCTACAGGAAAACCTGGGGTCGTATCTGCACAACCTTTGGAAGTCCAGATCTTTCCTTCAAACAGAAAACCACTAAGAACCATCAGGACAACATACATGATAAAGCATTTAAATACAGATCAGAAATTCAGGAAACACAAATAAAAATCAGTGAAAACAAATCCAACATTAAATGAAAAATCAGTGTTTAACAGAAGAAAACATCCGGATACAGGAAAGACCAAAGAGCATAGGAACGAAGGTGTGAAATACGCAATCAATGAAGGTTGCCTTCAGGAAAGGTAGGCACAGGTGGAAACTAACAAGGAAGACAGCCTGATGCAGAATGGGGGCAGTGGACTTTAGGAGCAGGGCATCAGAGGGTGCTCAGAGGGCCACTCAACATGTAAGAGGCGCGGGCCTTGATCAGTCTCCAGGAAGCGCAATGGAAACTCCTGCGGCCCCCAGGTGCTGAGTGGGAATCAGCCAAGGCGGAGTGCTGAGAAGGTGGACAGCCTGAGCCTGAGACGGAGTGGAGACAGGTCTAAAGTGACTGGGTGATGGTCCGCCACTGCCCAGGGAGCCTGCTCCAAGG